ATATTCTTTCGATTTCATTTTTTATATACTTTTCTTCGATTCAGTTTTATCAGTTTCCCTGTAATACTTCGCAGGCGATGTATTCGATAAATTAGAAGACGAGGACGAGCAAGGATGGTGTAAAGGACGAAAAGACGGTAGAGTAGGCCTTTATCCTGCAAATTACGTAGAACTTGTGTCTCCGTAAAGCTACCGCATAACGCCAAATGTTACATGAACATTGTTAGTTACTTAACACAGAACGCGTACGAAAGAAAAGGAAGAGGAAGAGGAAAAAAGGAAAATTTTTATTGTTTATTTTTGTTGTTTATTTCTATGTGAAAGATAGCAGGCTCGTTAAGAAAAAGAAAGAAGAAGGAAGAAAATTTGTAAATTTGCCGTTGAATAAGACTCTATATTAGGAATCGTTCATTTCGTGTGATATGTGTATAACAAGCGTTGGGAAGAGATTAGAGAAATCTTACGATTCGACGTTATGATCGAAAAAAATCGAAGGGAGCTGTTGTGAGTAAGCCAGTGAGAAAGAAAAATTGCGTACATCCACTTCATTCTATTTCTCAGATTGATATATCTATACTGATCTATCGACAGGATAGAACTTAAAACGAAAGGAAGGGAAAAACGAAACTCTTACCCCCTGATGGGTAGCTGGTTTTCGTAGATAGCTAGGATTCTTTATATCCATCTTTATAAATTAGTGGTAAACGATAAGATGGATACACGCATACACCACGAATATATTATAAGTTTAGATTTTTGAGATAATGTACAATTTCAAAAAAAAAAAAAGAAAAAGGAAAAACATTTTTCGACTCATTATTAGCATCGTTGCCATGAAATATTTTGGCGAATGCGACGAGAAGTATATTTAATTTATTGTTATTCAAATGATACTATTAAAACCTATTCTTTCCGAATGGTATCGTTGTATATAATAGACTTAAGAACGTAATGGTATGTAAAGTTGCAATTGTTTAACGAAGTTGAGATTTTATGATGGTTCGAATCAGCAAGAAATGCGAAGGAGAATGCGCAAATACATGAGATGTACCAAACGAATAAATTTGGGACCCAGAATTGCCCAATTTTTTTCTTTTTTCTGTTTCTTTTTTTCTTTTTTTTTTAAATAATTACAATCTTTTATTGTTGAGAAAAAAAGTTGGAGAATTATTTATATATAATATAAGAAATGAAATTATAATTATATAATAAAAAAGTTATGATACTATGAGAATATTTGCGTTATGGAGGAATTTCGAGGAATTTTCGTCATTGGTTAATGTGCTTTTTGTACATAATTTCTTATATGAAAGCAATGTTTAATGATCGTTTATGAGAAAATGCAATCGTAATATCTTTTTTAATAATTGAAAAATTTTATATCAAATGAAATATATAATACTGAAGATATTTCATATAATCATTACTCATTTTCTGATAGACGTATAACGTGATTGAAAAATTGGAAGTGAAAGCGCAAAATTGTTGTCAAATTTTAATTATTAAATACGTTCTTTCGTATTGCAACAAATTACTTGCTGTTAAGTTAATCGATGTACCTTCATGAATACATGCTTTCAAGCAAGAAATATTTGTAGTATTATAGACGCTGTTTTAAAAACAGAAACAACACTGCGGAGTAATTACAAAACTGAACGAACTATAGATGCTAATGGTTCGAGAAAGAAAGCATTTATAATTTTCGACAAGACAAATTCGCGAGTTAGCATTAACAAAGTCATTTGTTATTTAATAAAGTCTCTTTGATTTTGCAAACGCGCTCAGATGAATCAACTTACAAGTCAAGTCAAGTTTTCATGGTATATAGTGATAAATGCTAATTATTCGTCACGAGTAAATAACGTGTCACTATACACAGTATTTATGTAAATATAGTAGGAGTATAATAACATTTACAATTCAGCCAGCGACTGATTTTTGTAATTGTTTACATCATTAGTCCTCCAAATTATTTTCTGTAAAGAGTGTTCGCGATTCCATGATGTTGTTAAATAGATTATAGTTTGTGTATAAAATTTATTATGTATAACTTAATAAATAGCATATATACGAAATATTACATAATATATCAGATACAGCGACTGTTTTCACTTATAAATATGCGATACATTTTCATAAACGTCAGTTAAGTTTACAAGCAATTGTAGACTATAATAAACTCGCATCATGGCTATAAGAATTAAAAAACACGTACATCATTGTTTCAAGATATTATTGTAAACAGTTTTTTTGCTACCGTAAAAAAATTATATATTTGCATATTCATTAAATTTCATATATACTAAATATCACTGAAAAAAAAAAACAAAATTTATACATGTCGCTTCTAATTCTAATCCACTCTGATAAATATTACGGAACTTTTATATTACAAGTTTGTCATACATTGAAAATAAAATTATATACGATATTACAGACAAATATACACATAATTTCGATACAGTCATATGTACATATGAAATATTAGCTTATTATATAGCATATGTACATATAGATGAATCTTTTATAATTTGTGAATAATCATACACAAAAATAATGACCTATCAATAATTCTAAAATCATAGGTGTATGAATGTCGGAAATATTAGCTCTATCCTTCAGAAGTAATATAAGCACAATACAATCCAATAGATATTTAAATAGAAGCAACGTATACGTGTACTTAAAAAAATATTTTTAATATATCTGTACATATTTATATTATATTAATGAAAAAATTTTGTTGATCACATTATAAATTGAAGAATCATTACATACGTGTGATAACTTAATTCTCAGTCTATACGTTTTAAATGAATTAACTTTAAGAGCTACACGTTAATGAGTGGCAACATGTTTCTGCAAGTCCTCAAGACTTGAGAATGGTTTATCACATAATTGACAAACATGCGCATTTCCATTATGTATATCTATATGTTCAGATAAATCTTCCTCTGTTTCAAACAATTCATCGCAAATCATGCATTGAAATTCATAAGCTTTTATTCCTTGTTTCTCCCATTCTGCTATAGCAGCTTCCTCCTCGTGAGCCTGCATGTGCATTTCCAGTAACATTTCCGAATTAAATGTTTCTGCACATTGCAAACATTGATAAACTTCTTCCTTCGATTTATCATTTTCATTAGCGATACTAATTAGATTAGGATTGTCATCCTCTTCGTCGAATAAATGTTTCTCTACGTGTGCTTCCAATGCATCTTCAGATTCTAACGAATCACCACAAATTGCACATTGATACTGTTCTTTGCCAGGGCTTTGGTCACCCTCGCTCACATCATCGCAATGCTTTTGTAAATGGTCCTTCAGTAGTTCCTCGTCTGTAAATATTTTGTCGCATACGAAACAATTGTATGTTTCCTTTGGTTTCTCTGCTCCAGAAGCAGTATCTTCCTTTTCTTTACTTGTTCCGATTTTCTCACTGCTTAATCCTGTCCTTAAGCTCTCTGACTTTGTAATTAGATAATTTTCTGCTTTTGAAGATTGACCCTTTTCCAACTTTAAATACAATGTGTCTTTGGAATTCTGCGATGTACTCGCATTCGTTATCTTCTGAGATTCTCCCTTTGTTATATTTTCTATTGTAAATTCGGACTGATCGTGGCTTTCCAAATGATGTACCAAAAGTTTCTCAGTTCGAAATGTCGAATTGCACACGTAACATTTGTGAGTTTGTTGCTTCGATTTGCACACGTGAGCCTTTACAAATCTTGCTTCTACTATTTCGTGGCATCTTTTACATCGCATCATTTTATGTTTGCTGTGTCGTGACATAGTAGTCTCTGTTTTGTGCATACGAACATGTACCACGGCATCGCTACGATTAGCAAACGACTGTTCGCATACACCACATATATGTTTCTCACTGTGTGGTGAGATAATTTTAAAAATATTCTCGAGTTTATGCTCGCTTTTACTAGAATCCACAATTTTCGATTCTTCTGTCTGTTTGGAGACTTTACTATCTTGTGATTTTGGTATATTATTATCTGTTCTAGATGCTTCGGAAGTTTCTTCCGATAAATAAGAATCAGAATCCAAAGCGGAAGTATTGTAGTCATTATATCTTATTGGCGGGACGCTTTGTCTTTTGTGAGAAACCATACTAAATGGCCCGCCAAGTTTATTCTTAACTGTACGTTTAATCAGAACGTGCATGTTATTAATATTACGAATTTTACTTTCTTTTTTTATGTCCAAACGCTTTAATACAATTCTCGGTTGATACTTTTTGGAGTTCATTGCCTCTTTTACAAACGTTGGCGACACTCTTCCAGCTGGTTGAGAATATGAATTAAAATCAGTGCCACAACTTCTCATCAAAGACGATTCGAAATTTTTCTTTATGGTCTTTTCTACGATAATTTTCAACTGTTGATCCAAAGTTTGATACGAAGTTTTATAATCGTGTACTATCTTATCTTTTTTTGTATCCTCGTTATTTGTTCTGAATTCTTTTTCTATGAAATTAGCTAATTCAACTTGTACGTGCTTTAGTGCCTCTATTTCTGTTCCCTCCACTTCTATATTCAGACATCTTTCGATACATTTTTTGTTATTAGCGTCTATCGGAACTGGATTTATTCTACGAAGTTGCACAGCATCGATAATATCGGTATTCTTCTCTTGAGAATTTTGTTCGATATTACCATTCTTGAATTCCTTCGATAAAGTATTTAAATTCTCCTTATTCAAATAATGAGATTCCGCGAGCGTTAATGTAGAAGTAACGATGTACGTAACATCTCCAATTTCTAATTCTGATTTTACTGAACACGGTGAAAATTTATTTTCAGTTATTTCTACTTTATCCTTTTTTGATGATTTTTCTTGAACAACTTTTTCTGGCAGTGAATCGGGAGAAATTTCTTTTTCCTTTAGGTCCTCGGAAAATTTATCTTTCTTGACTTTATCTTGTTCAACACTTTTTTTCGCAGATATATTTTTTCCTTCGATTGAGGAAATATCAGAATTTCTGTTTCTAAGAGATCTCGTTCTATGCACATCGGAATCGCTATCGATACTCATAAAATCGTGTTTATATTTGTCTGTCAAATTGGTCTCCAAATTCTTCAATTCTCTGGCTAATCTTCTTTGCTTTTCGACCTCTTTATCCATATTTGTTTTTGCCCTTGCCTTCTGCACTGGTGATAGCTGCGTATCATCCGAAGCCATAGAATCTGTGTCTGAAACACTTTCTCCAATCGCTGCAAGAAGAGCCTTTTTCCTTGCAACCCACCTTTTAGTCGATGCCTTTCTTCGTTCAGTTATATTACGCCTTCCAGTTAATGGTTTCACTTTCATTGGAACTAAGGTTGGTTTTGGTTGAATATTATCTTTATTCTCCTGTCCTTCATCGTTTTTACATTTATCGTCATTGGAAGCATCATGAGGTTTTTGCGAGGAATCCTTCGAAGATGTAACGTCATCTTCAGATATGTACATATCTTTAAGTATTGTTTGATCCGTTATATTGTCCGCATTTGTGACCTGTAAAGGTATTAGTGGTGGTACATCCGTTTTTATTTTTTTCTGAAATAAATTCCCCTATGAAACTGTGCGTTCATGGATAGTACGAAAAATAAATGATTAGAATTACCTTATCAAAAGAATCGGAAAGACTATCTTCCCCACTTTGTTGCAAGTTATTGCATCTTTTGGCTTTCGGATTCTAAGATTAAAAAATTACAACAAAATTATAATGCTATCAGAAACATTAGCTGTTTTATGGGATGGTCCCTGTTGCCAATTGAGATGAAATTTTTAAGAATAGGAAGAATATCTAAAACTTATCAATAAAGCTATTAGTCATTGGAAAATTTATGTAGAAAAATTATCTCTCTGCATGCGAAAATATATTCTTCTATAATTCTCTATTGTTGAATTTTCTATTATTTTAATTAAATAATCTAATAATGTTCTAATACCAATAGAATGTATTTCTCACCGTAACGTTTGTTTTATAATAAATTTAACGTAATGTTTTATAATTTAAAAATTTTATCAATATCTTCATATGTAATAATTAACACAAAATTATTTTATGACAATTAACTACCAGCATTATGATTCTTGATGCTTTAAATTGTAAGATCATACGTAATCAAAGCTTTCAGATTAAATTAACTGAAATTACTTTAAAAAAAAATTATCTTTGTGTTGAACAATGTCACCTCATTATCAGAAGTTTCTATAAGTTCCAATTGGCTTAACAACATTTGATTTGACCGTATAAATTGTTCTTTAAATTCACTCCACATTTCCAGTTTGTAAAGGCATATATGACATATAATATCAGGCAAGCCATGCTCTTCTTTGATCTGAAAAGGAAAAATACTTCATTATGAGACAATAAATAAAAAGATTGTGCAATTAATTATCAAAATAAAGAGAGATAATATAAACATACATTGACAGAAGTACATTTAGTCAGATCATGCAGTTTTGATTGTAGAACTTCATCAAATAAATTAGTCATACATCCATGTTCAACTAGGCAAATACGACATCTTTCTTTTATATGTGATAATTTTCGTTTACGCGACATTTTTTTCCTAAAATATAAAATTGCACCCAACTGTATTGGTGCTGAACACTCTGAACATGGTACAAACTATGGCGGATGTAGTATCGATATATAGAGATATCGTTAAAATAAAACTTGCAGATATGTTCAAATCATTAAGAAAAATGGCGCGAAAATTCGTATTTGTTTATCGTAACGTAAAAGTTTTCCTTTAACGTTATATATTGTAATATACAAAATTTTTCTTTAAAAATATTTTATTATTATAAAAATATCGCGGGAGTAGAAAGAAGAAATGTAAATTTGATTGTACTCCACGAAAAATGTATAAATTACAATATTTACTATTGCAATAAATTAATGAAGCTACAAATTTACGAATTATCTAAGAAAATCTAAAAATTATTGTAAATTTATATCTCCATTAATTTATTACAATAATAAATACAGCAATTTTAAAAAATTTTACTGTAAAAAAGAGTTGTCAACTTTTTTCAGCATTGTATATCTGTTAAAAAATTATCTACGTATTTATGTACAAAACCTATCTACTTTTTATCGATAGATATTCTTTATAATTTGAAATTGTCTAAGATCGTCAACCACATTTTGAATAGCGCGCGTACATTATTTCAATTCCCGCGCCATTTTAATTGACGTAGGAAACGTTCGCTCCAGCCAATGAGAGAGTAGCTAAACGAAGTGCTGCGTTGGCGGGAATCAAGCTTCAGTCACGCATCAGAAAGCATGGCGTCAAGATATTGATTCATTTGATGTGTATAATTTTTGTTATTGTGTTGTGTTTTTATTATTTTACAGATTACCATTAATCGGTTCGTTCAAGTATTGCGTTCTCATTTAGTTCTCTATTACATACTATCATAATGATATTAAATAACTTATCAAGCTTTTTTTTTGATTTTCGAATCCTTTATATTACTAGCTTCTGCTATGAATTTTTGAGCTTAGTTACAGCATGATTTTAATATTTTTGATTTCAGTTTTATACATGAACTAAATTAAACATGTGGTATCCTTTTGCAGATTGTTAACTGATTGCTGAAATCATCTCAAAGGACCATGATTTGTAAACATCATTTCGACTTTGCTAATGTACTTGGTTAATGTTTCATTTATTGTTGCGAAGGCACAGGTAAGTACACATTTAAAATTATTTATTGCATTCAGTTAACGAAGTCAAAAACTAATACTACAACGGTAGTATAATCTTTGTTGTATCCTATAAAAGACACACAAATTGCAATGAATATGAAAAAATTATCAAATTGCTGATTGTAACTTTTTTGAGCATTGAGTATTATTATTTTTATTCAATCATAATTCCTTACAATTTTAATTTATACTTTATTTAATTTCAATTTATTTCAGTTGCAATTTATTTAACGTGGAATTAATTTATTTCATCCACTGTAAATGTATGTATATATTTTAAAAATATTCTTGGATAATTAATCAAATTTTACATTGTTTTATGCATTTTTACATAAGTGTATAAGAATCCACAGTCCAATGACAAATATAATTAATACACGTGGTCAGGATTTACGTCGTTCGCTGCAGAAGTAGCCTCGTAAGCTAATCGTTCTGCCTCTCTTTGATTTGCTATTGCTGCGTGTTCCTCGGCTATCTTCTGGTACAGTTGAACATGCTTGTCCTTCGCTCTCCCCACGCTCGCGGAATCCTGTTAAAATGTTACACGTGCACGATGGCCAAGTGAAAGCTGCCGTTTCGAATCATCACTAGCGATGAAACTGAGCCTCGATCGAGTATTTGTTCACGCGATTGACACAATAGATCAGCGAAGGTTCTGAGATAGATCGACTGCGCGCAACCTTGCAGCATTTACTCAATTATAATTTTTAAATGCTACATAAAAATATGGATTCTACTTGTAGAAATAGAAATTCGTAACAATAATTGACCAATTGTCATCTGCGATTTAATTCCTGCTGAAAGAAGTAATAAATCGAATGTTTGTTACCCGTGGCAGATTGGCCGGAACCCCGTGAGAATTTGCCTCGGCGATTTTCTGGTACAATCGGAAATGTCGTTCCTTCGCGAGCCTCACAGCCTCGGAATCGATAGGTTGAGCAATCGTGTCTTCGTAATTTATTAGGGACGCGTGAAATCCAGTCTCATCGGCTGCGTATTCCACTGTTCGTACTTTGTGCTTCGGGTCCACGAAGGAGTAAGAACCTAAAAAAAGACAGATCGATACGATAAGTTTCATTTACATTCGTTTTAACGTAGCAGCTCAAGCATCGGATGATATTGGAAAATTATGAAACAATCAGATGGATTTTTTTTTTTGTACAAAATGAAACCTACACGAAAGATTAAATATTAAAATTGTTAAGATTGGAAAGTAAATTTTGTCGAAATTGATTGAAAATGAAAAAGTAATTTTCAAATTCAATTACAATTGAATAAGAATTTCATGATTAAAATGATTACCTTGGACGCGTCCACTGCCATCTCCGACTTCTTGATGAACACGATCTACGTTCCCAGGATATCGTCCTGCTTGGTATCGAAATCTGTAGGGCCTCGGAGCCGGTGGTGAAGTGGTTGTAGTCGTCGTAGAATATTCTGACAAAAGATGCGATACGTCCCCCAGGCAGGGGCTAATCAGAACGATTGCGATCTGATTCGAAAGTATAGTATTCTAATTAGCTAGGTCGATCGCTTAGCTGTCCAATTGAAAATTGAACAAGAAATTAACTAACAATCATCATGTGTCTATATATAGAAGTTAAATGCCAAACCGATTACGGAATCGTCTGAGAAAGAAATCATCTTCCCGAAAAACACGCAACGTTTTCACGCTTTTCTAATTTTACAAGTTCTACTTAACGAAGCTGTGCTCGAACATGTGCGAGAGATTGTTTCACATTGAAATTAGTTGGCGAGTTAATTGATGAATATTGGAACAAAATAGCTCAGACATTGTACGTAAAATTAGGTAACATATTTATCCATTCGTGGAGAATTTTAAAGTGCAAAAAATCGCACAGAATGCGTGTTACACAATGAAATATTCGAAGCAATTTTTTTTTTTTACCAATCTTCTATCTTTTCAATTGTCTTCTCGAGAATATGAATATTTGCCAGAGGAATCCGCGATATGTAACAACGACATTGATTGTAGCGAGCAATTGATGTACATACCAGCAGATTCTTCATCTCAGCTGTTGTTACGTCGATAGTCTCGTATACGCGAATCGACATAAACTGAGATACTCTGCCAGTGAAAGTAATATAAGAAACTGACGAAAAGGTGGAGGCAGTGCGTGTCGAGCCTGTTTTCAACAGTGGCGCTTCTTCAAACGTAGTAAACAATTAAATGAGAAGTATCATTGATGAAACGAAATCATGATCAGTGGGAATTATAGAGAATTATAGTTACGAATGCGAAATATAAATGATGAGTAACGATACTATGAATTAGAATAAAGGCAGAGTGAGAAGAAACTAGAAATAAATTTGATGATTTATATCAATTTATTCATAAATCTTCTACAATTCGGTTCTACAACGAGAACCATCGAAGTGTTTGTTTAAATCGATCGTTTAAGATGTTTAATCAATCTCGAGTTTCTTGAACGTTCCTTCAACGCCAAACAGATCGGTCGCTGTTTTCCCTTTACCTGGTCTCGCGGATTCGTTCACGCGCCTCGTTCGTTCTTCCTCGAGAAACCAGTCGCGATTTTCCTCCAGCACCTTGATCGATTTTTCGTGCAGTTGCAACAGAGGGCCAGCTTTGCCACCAGCTTCGTTCGGTAGTATGTCTGTCGGTATGAATTTCGACAGCGTGTCCAAATTTGTGTGCGTGTGAAGCTATGACAGATTGATATAATCAATTGATAGATGGCTCAAAAATTAGGTAGGGTTTAATATAAATCTTGAGTTTTAAAGATTTCAAAGACAAGCGTCCAAAAAATCGTACGAAAACGTTTAAAATTAGATAATCTCTGTTACGTTGTTCAAGTCGAAGATAATTACCATGTCCAATAATTCCTTCTTCATGAATGGTTTCATCATATTCAGTATCACGTCCATCACGCTCGTGATATTCATGAAATGAAATCCTTTCAAACGAACTGGCAGTGCCTCTTGCAAGTAAAGCAGATACTTCTTCAATCCCATCGGGCTCAATCGGGCACAATGGCCAAACACAACGTTCTTCATGTCGAATAAAATGATGTGTCCCTCTGACGTGCCTTCGCTGTGAAGCCACAGATCAAGCACCATGCTCAAGTATTTCATCCCATCGTTATAAACGTAATTCGAGGGTTCACCGTCGATCAATTTCCCATAGAGAATCGCGTAACCCTCTGGCGTTTTCTTCTCCAAAACTTGAACTGTCCTGAAAGAAACAAAGAAAGAAAAATGTCCAATATTGCGAGAATTAATCGAGAGAGAATTCGAATTTATTTGAAATTTAGTTTTCAAGAGGAACAAAATTAGAATTCCATTAAAATCTGTATTGATGTATGCAAATATTTCGCCAGTTCCTTTTTGTACATTTCCCTCAGATATTACTCAGAATAATGTTTCAAGTAACTGAGACGTACTACTACGTTTAGACGAAGTCTCTTCCTTTTCATTAGCGTTCGAGATTCTGTGCGTGCAATTGGTAATTAAGTATAATGTTACACGTAACACGAGATAAAATGAAACGTGGTAATTAAAAACAATGACCGAATGAAAATGAAACGTATACGACATTCGTTGGGCGACCTCGCGAGTGAGCTTGAATTCAATTTTACAGTTAATATTTATAATAAATTTATACACTAATATAATATATCGATGACTGAAAGTAAAACTTTCACTAAAGGAATTAATACGAAAGGTATATGTAATAATATGTAATGCAAGGAAAGTCTTCAGATCCTCAAAAATGAAAATACATTCAGCATTGATTTGTTCAGCTATTAAATTTTAAACGTTCCAAAAGTTAATAGGTCCGGTACTCTCATAGTTTTCTATAGAGTTCTATTAGTCTATTAATAATTCTAATGTTAACAATTGATATTATTATTTTTTTTAATTATTAGTTTCAATGCTACAAATGCTTTGTTTCTTTCTAAAATGGGATTTAGTAATTAGGAACACTTACACAGTCTGGAAAGATTTTCTCAATTCCTTCGATCCCAGGGGATCCCTGTTGGAAAAGAATTCGGGGACGTGAGTCCTCACAGTGAAATACGAATCGATGGTCGTTTTTGTCGCTTCCATCCGATAATAATTGCTGTGTAAAAACAAGGCCAATTCAGCGTCTGTTATTGGCGGTAGGTGTGGCTGCTTTTTGTACCAATCTCTCAACATTTGCATATCGTCCTCTTTCAAATCTGGATTCTTCTTCAACTCTTCCTCGTACGTAACACCTTTCAACGCCATTGTTGAATTCCTTGAAAAAAGTTCGACAATCTCCAGAAAAGCTTCTTCGTATTGTTCTTTAAACAGACACACAGGGCTAATTTTTATTGATGTAATATGAATTCGTAAAACGTATCTTCTTGAGATGAAAATTTTACTCTAATCTTGATAAATGTATGTGTCATTAGTATACAAAAATATTAATCGATATATCTGTAATTTACTTTAATACAGTAATAATTGGACTGAAGATTTTTAATGAAAACTGATAGAAATGTATGGCTGAACTTCTCTTTGGGACGCCATTTTCTCTTTAAGCTATCTTTGTATCTTCTGATCTAATTAAAGTCTTGATAGAGCAATTGCCAGTTCAGGAATGAATTGGATCAATGAATACTACAAAAGATATTTAAATTTCAGCTAGTTTCAGCTTACTTGTGATGGTTTCCAAAAGACAATCGTGCACGAAAGCGAAGTTTCAGAACTGTTGTATCGAGGAAAAACTTGTTTCCTGAAGATCACCACGGAGCGACGGTTTGAACAGTACTAACTTCTATAGAGACTGAAGTGCAATCAAATGATGGAATGAGTTATTGTCTGATAATCACATGTAGCGTGACAGTCGAGATTGTCAGACTTGCAAATGTCAAATTATACATCTTAGCGTGACGTGAAAATTTTTGTTCAGAATGACTATGTTGAAAGATCTTGTGAAAATAGATATATTTATAGCTTATATAATATTTAATATGTTGAAAGATTTTGTGAAAATAGATATATTTATAGCTTACATAATATTTAATATGTACATAAATTTCATATTTTCACGTTGTAGAAAATATTTGGAGTAAGTTTACGAATTAAATTAAATTAAGAAGTCTCTTAATTATATAATAATTATTTTTACGGAATACTAGATATTTAATATTGTGAGAATATCGAAGTCATATATTATAGATATATAATTAATAGTTGAACAGTTCAGTAATGTTCAATTAATAAAAATTTATTAATAGTACAATTTTTTTGTATGTGACAAATCGAAGCTCCTTTCTATATTTTGAGATATATGAAATTAATTTTAATAAATACCGTGAGAAGTTCTTCCCTTCTCATTCTGAGCGGGCAGAAATTTATAGGCACGATAAACTGAATAGAATCGTGACGAGGGAAAATTTCGTTCCGTGACATTGTAAACAGGAAATTATCATTCAACGAAATTATTAGCTTATGAATATCAAAGTTGGACTTTACAACGATGCACATGGGATGTAATATTGCAAGTAAATTGCTTAATCGAAAAAAAAGAATGGAAAAATTATTTAGTTATCTAATATCTGTTACTCATTATTTTTCATCTTTCTTTTTGTCCTTAAAAGAAGAAGAAGAAGAAAAAGGTGTATTAATTTTATTGAAAGAAAATGATTTCCAAAATAATAAATTTTCCCAGACTGTATTTTATTGACAGTAAATTCACGAAGTATACTTGAAATATTTAACGCGCGTTAATTAGTGCAATACGTAACAGTATAATCATTCACCTAAAAGCTTTTATTAATGATTAAACTTCAATTGCCAGTATACATTTATCGTAAACACTTAATTTAACAAATCAATGTTGTACTTCCGTATTAACGTAACATTAATCATTGTCGGTATGTTTTTTTAAACTTTAAACAGATTTGTACAGCAAATTAATCATTGACAAAAATTAATTTTATCTTTAGTTGTTAAGAGTAGAAAGTTTACTAAATTTTTAATGTCAATTATCAACGAGGAAGTCTTCGTTAATAAAGTTGTTGCAGACACGAAAGATTAAAAAGAAGGAAACAAAACACGCGCTCGGAACTTAAGTTTAAAGAAAGAAATTTCTTTTCGCAAAATCATCAGGAGGAAATCGTCCACTGAATAAAAACATAGTGTAGGCACTTTCTCAATCTATATCGAGCTTCTTGAAAGTGCCGTCAACGCCAAACAGGTCATTGGCAATATTACTTTTCCCAATACGGAGTGACTCGTCCACTTTGCCATATTTCATTTCTTCGAGGAACCACTCTCGTTTATCGTCGATTTCTTTTATTCGCGCCTCTTGCATTTCAACTATCGAGCCGGCTTTCCCGCCAACTTCATTCGGCAGAAGATCGATAGACAAGAATTCTTCTAGTGTTTTTGTCGACGAGTGCAGGTGTACCTACAAAAAAAAAAAAAGAA